CCCATTTACTAGGTCTTTTACGATATCAGCCCAAGGCTGAGAAAGTTGTTTCTTGAGACTTACCATAAGCTGCCAGAATGTCAACCAGCATGGCTTGGGGTTCTGGAAACTTGTAGTCCAAAAATATTTTCTTTCTCAACACCTCTCCATTCAGTCCCCAAGGAAACAAGGACATGGGGGGGGGTGAAGCTAGTCATCTCAAACTGTACTTTCTGCTGTTGGGTTTTCTGAGTGCTGCAACCCACACACAATCTGGGCCATGAGAAGGAGGACGTTCTTCCATACCCTTTGAAATCAGTGGTTAGAATCCAGTGGGTGTTTACTTACGGTTTGGATAACTAGTCATGGCTGATTTCAACTAATTGATGAGGTACCAGGGCATTTTTCAGTTACATGGTTTGTCAAGTTGCCTCAGTATTTTTTTCAACCAGCAGCATTGTCAGTGGAGAGCGGAAATTTCGAATCTCTAACAGGGTCTGGAAACCAGTGAGGAGTGCTCTTTGCTTCAGTCATTCCTTGTGGGTAGGATTATTGTGTGCTATGCTTCTGGTACCCTCCATCTTGGATCCTTTCCTCCCTGCCCCGATTTTTCCCATTTCTTTGGATTATTTTTGCTGCTGCTAGGCAGCCTCCCTGTGCCAACATGCCTCCTTGGAATTTTTTTTGGGGGGGGACTTTCTCCCTCTCCCCTTCTCCCACCCCTTGGATTATTTTTGGTGCTGCCAGACTCAAAGAAAAAAGAAAGAAACGGCATCAAGTGATCCTTGAGAGAAAAATTTCTCCATGTTGTTGTAGTTTGGTTGAAGGAACTTTGATTATATTTTTTGCCTTTATTTGTTTGTTTGTTTTCATTGATTTTTGGGAGAGTTTCTTTAAAAACTTTGATGCTTTCCCCTTTGTGTGTGAGAGTGATTTCAGTGTTATTTATTTATTTAGGGCTTCAGGAGTGCCAGAAAACAAGAATGGGGAACATGAAACAAAAGTCCCAAAATATGATTTCCCAATTTATGTAAAACAAATTTAGTAGATTCTTTCAGTTTGAACTGAAAGAAAACTGTGCCCCATCCAGATGGCATTTGCATCAGCCAAACTCAAGAGATGCAGCTCTTGCCAGCATGGAGAGGGCCAAGGTAAACTCTAGGCTAAGTAGCTTAATAGGATGCCGTCTACCAGGGAGTGATATTAAAACGGATGAAGAGAAGACAAGGAACGAGGCATAATTGGAAAAGGATAAGATGCCTGTTAAACATCCTCTTCTCCTGTAGACCAATGAGATAAATAAGGAGGTATATATAATGGAAGTGTTTATACAGTCCTTGTGCATGATTCATTCCAGGAGAATTGTTAGACTAAATATAGAGGTTATTGATAGGAGATGTTACAGACCTTGACGCAGGAACAACCAGTTCTGGTTACAAGAAGGTTTAATGGGGAAAATCAGCTGTTGTAGACAAAGGTCCTCAGAGTCTCAGAAGAGCAGGCAGGATCAAACAGATGAAGACTGCTAAGGCAGCTTTGATTTATGAGGTGCAGGTCGAAGTTCTTTTTGATACTTTCCTTCAGATGCATTGCATGTTGTGATTGTTTGTTGAAACTTTTGTGTTCTTCCCATTAGCTAAAAAGGATCTACAGAAGCTGCACTGCAAAAATAATGATTGGGGGGGGAAGGTACTTTGAGGGCACATTGGCTCTAAGCCTGTACATACTTTTCCTCACATCCAACAGTTGGTTGTGTACCTAGTTGTCTTTTGATGCCGGTCTAAACCTTGTTGTCTTCAACAGGTAACTTGTGTGTAACTGCAAGCTGGAGATGGCTGGAACAATCGTGGCACCCTTTGCCCGTAAAATACTTACACTTTCATGATTGCTAACAGCATTGCGGCCACTGTGTGCTTTGAGCACACATTATCTGTACATATTGTCCTTAGTCAGATACTGAAGGCATGACCAGTTCAAATAAGATACAGACCAAGTCTTGAATATTCCTTTCCACCTAGAAAAGAAAATTCAGTAGCAAGAATGTTGATGTCAGTTTTGTTTTTATTGGTAAAATTCTGCAAACAGATCCTGTGACTGTGAAACACCAATGTAGACATAAACAGAGAACTATTAACTGCTCCAGAGTCTCAAAAGGGACAACTGGATATACTTCAAAGCCATACAAGGAGATGGAGATTACAGTTCATTGACCACCAAGTTCAAAGTACACCGAAAAATATTATGAAGATCACGATGAAAAACATGTCCACTTAGCATCGCTTCATGGATTCCTCATTCATCAAAAAGAGTGAAGGAAGTTATATTATCTGTATAATTAAAACAGTTCACTGTAGCCTGTGGCTACTTCATGTGTGTTTCAGGACTCCGAGGGCTGGAATACCTGCTCAGCAATATCCTCACCAGCTGTATCAGAAAATGACTCCTTTGGTACGAGTAACTGGAGCCTTAACACTGTCCTATGATCCTTTTCTTTGTTTTCAACACTGCAAGCCCAACCAGACCTAGTGGTGCTCAGGGTTACACGTTTTAAGTAATCATATCTACAGAGATAGACTTTGTCCCCAATAAATGCCCAATCTTCAAGACAGATGCATTGGGATTACATTGTGGTTTATACCATAGAAGAAGTAGTCATAAGAAAAAAAAAGTCTGTTTATAACAAAAGCCTTGTTAATCCGATGCTTTGTGCCATAAACACAAAGTCCTATGTGTGCCTCAGTTTTTACAATCTTTGGATGACCAAAACATTGCTTTGCATGTTTTCTGAAGGTAGAAACAGACATTGTTAGGAGAGGGAGGTATCAAAGAGGGATTGTATGAGAGTGTTACACCAAAAACTTTTCTTGTCTCCCTGAGTTGGCCAATTAGATTGCTTTGTTTTGTGGTTGGTTTTCAGGATTTAAGTATGGAATTCCTTTGAACTTGATCTCTCAGTCAGGAAAGTCTCGCTCCTTCTTCTCTAAAACTAAAGTGCTTTCAGCTCTTATTAGACATATGTGTAATATATATTTCTGCCTTAAGCTACTTGGATGGATGAACTGAAGTGCACATATAGCACACATTGGCAACATTTTATTATACAAAGAGAGAAAAACCATTTGCTCTGTGCATTCTTTCAGTCTCTGTCATCACAACATGATTGGATTTCAGCAGACACTGTAATAAAAGTAGATCCTGCAGAGAAAAAAGCTTTAAACTCCAGGAAAGCAGATTTCACAAATTGGCAAGTGTATTCATTGATGGCTGCTGCAGTAGGTGAGGAGCACATCACCAATCTGCCCTTTGAAACCTAAAGTGGTATGATTAACAGCACAGTCTTGACCATGTTTACCATGAAATAAGACCCACGGAGTTTAGCTGGGTTTATTCCCAAATGAGTGTGCACAGGTTTTTACCTAAGGCAACAAAGACAGTCAAGCAAGTATTATAGACAGAGTTTTGAATGGGGAAACCAAGTAGAAGACCCAGAATTCCTAACACTACCCATAGACTTCATTCAGAACATTCCAAACCGGCCAGACTGACTCCATGGATGACTGAACTTCAGGGCTCAACTAGATGGGTGAAATGAAGCAAGTTTTCACTCTTTTTATATCTGCTGTTAATGATAAATTGTGAAAATTACCTCTTCCCAAATCTGCACCCAAGGTGTCTTCTGATGTTCCCATCCACAGGAGCAGGAACCAAGAGCAACATTGCTTCATGACACTACCAAGCTCCCATCCCCTCTTCTCTACCCTTTCCCCCCACCTTCCTCTCGGTAACCCATCTCCTTCTCCCAAAGCACAGGCAGAACCCTTGAATTGGGTGATCAAGCAATGCACTTTTTTACTTTCCATAAAGAACCTTAACCAGTTCACCTCAAACAGCCAGTTTCAGAGAACATGAAGGATAGGAAGGTTTCACTCTTAGCAATAAATAAACACAAAAACACAAATAAACAGACAACCGAAATTCAGCACAGAGAATCGTAGAGGACCATTTTCCAAAAGGATAACTCTCCTGTTTTTCAGAGAATTGGTTTCAAAGAATTAATTTCCCTAAGAGAGAGGAGCTCTATCAAAGGCTGAGACTGCAAGCTGTCAAAGATAGTACTAATATTCTTTGCCCCCCCCCCCAAAAAATCAAAACAAAATCTAGTAAGGAGATTTTCCGCCCAAAAGGAGGTGCCAACATAGCTGGTTTCCAAATAAGATTAAGATTGAAGCCCCCCTCTTTTATCATTTGCTGAGATCCAAAGCTGTCAGTGGTGGTGCTGGCAGCAAGAGGGTGAGATACTGTTGCACCATGACTCACAGGAGACTTCATGAATGTTCATGACACATCCATCAAAGGTATGGAATACCTGTGAGCACACCATATAACATCTATAGAAAACAGCCTGAAACTTGTCACACCCCCCAAAAAGCGGAAAACAAATCAAAAAAGAAAGAAAGAAATTGCACATGCCAGGCTGAACAACGAGAACATGCAGAAAAGTCACCTGTCATTGGTGTAAGCGAGAACATCACAAGACTTCAGAGAAAACAGTAATATCATCTGTGCAGGATTCAGTCCTCACAGTAGGTTAAATGCCAGTGTGGATAAGTCCTCAGTCTAGACCTAAAGAGTTCATTCCACAGTTCAGATGCTCCATGTTATCCATCTAGTTAGTAAATATAGACATCATGATTGTTTGGCTGGATGATCATGCAAACCCAGTGCCAAGAACCAACAACCTTTCAGAGCTGATACCTATGATAATGGCACTTCATGCTGCTAAGTTTGTTGCAAGCTATGTCACATACAGCTTGATACAGTACATTAATTTCTGGCACATGGGCTTTTTTAAGAGGAATTCATAATATAAACTGTGGATCCCTGGCTTGAACTATTTGCCTGTCCTTAAGCTCTTAAATCCCATTTTTAATCCTTTAAAACAACAACAACAACAACAACAACAACAACAACCCACGTATCTTTTGGTTCAACTGTTGCACACAAGGAATCCATCCTTTGATTAGGGTCTCCTGCCCAGAGGGGAAAGGAAGTGTTCTAAGTGATGTTGAAAGCAATGAAAGAGTTGGCAGTCTTCTCTTGGCAATTCAGCTGCTCGGCCTCTGTCCATGTCTGGATTGGGGTCTGACAGCAGCTGGAGGCCCTGGCTTGCATGGGCTCACTGACATGGACCACTTCTGTCAGGTCTGCTTCTACGGTACTAACCGTGTGGGTCACTTGGGCCACATGGACCTTGTTGACCACTCTTTTGTGCAAGAGGCAACTGAAGATCTTCTTGAACCCTTTACGGAAATGCTTGGATACCAGAGCGTAGACAATGGGGTTGACGCAGGAGTTGGCGTAGGAGATCAGGTGAGAGAGGATCCTAAGCACATAGGTGGCATTGTTCAGTGGAAAATAGCCAAACCAGAAACAGAGGATGACCAGGTGATGAGGGAGCCAGCAAAGACAGAAGAGCACAGCCACAATAATAATCATCCGGGTGACCTTACGCTTGCCCTTCTTGGAATCAGACATATCTTTCATGGGGTCCACCGATGTCCAGAGGTAACGGATGGTTCTCATGTAGGTCAGGCTCAGGATCAACACGGGAATGACATAGCTGAAAACAAAAGTGCAGAGATCCATAATTTTGCGCTGTTGGATTTTCCAGATGGGGTGGCAGACCGTGACATTGGCTATCTGAAACTCTTGATAGTAGCTGATGTACGGTCCAGAGAAGACGAACGACAAACCCCAGATAAGACAAATGGCCGCAAGAGCATTCCTGGGAGTTCTTAGTTCTCTTGAATGCAAAGGGTACCTTATGGCCAAATACCTAGGAAAGCAAAGAGAAAGGTAATGATACTGAGGCGGCAGCAGTGTACCCCCACACCACCAAACCCCACACCCCAAACCTGGAAAAGGCTAGATGATAATCCAGAGTGAGTTGGGTATAACTACAAGAAGCACAGTAAGCAGGATATTTGGAAGGAGGAAACTTTGCCTAAAAATGTGATGTTCATGATGATTATGGTGCCCATTACCATACAAGCAGGCTCTTCAACATATGAAGGAACTACAGAAGGAATTTGGAATATCATATGGATAGAAGAAAGGGGAAAGATGGAAATTTTGGTGGGGATGTATGATGAAAGGCAGCCTGGCACAAACATATAAACAAACATGCAAGATGCCGGCCACAGAGACTGGCGAAACGTTAGGAAGAACAACCTTCAGAACACTGCCAAAGAGCCCGAAAAACCCACAACAAACAAACATGCAAATAGCAGTCTGGCATAGTGAAAAAATTGTGGAATGGTTTGTTTTTAATATCTGTTGCCTTAGAATTCCTACAGGCTCATACCAGTAAGATCATATCTGTTTTCATAGGTCTGCTGGGTTCTGCTTTTCATTATGGCAGTAGGATAGCACAATGCCTTGAATTCTGTTCAGTGATTTTACGATGAAGGAGCACATGTATATGGCAAAAAGCCAGTGTTTGTCCTCTGCCATTCAGACATGTGTCTGCAATATGCCTATGTACACAAGCAAATCTTTTTGAGCAGTGCTTTAGGAACACTAAAAATGTAAAGTTCTCAGTTACAGAGAGTATTGCTTATACACACAGATAGTGTGATGTTGTAGATGTTTGTCTGAACATGCATTTATTATTGGGTGGATTCTATCAGCTCCTTCTATCATTAGCAGAGCTAGGATGTAACTAGTTACAAACAGCAGTTACTTCTATCATCAAGTTATATTTTGACTGGCCATTTTTCTCTTGATAATTTACGGCTGCATTAGAGAAACCACATTAATTGGTGGCAAACTCCACTCATAAGTGAGGTGCAAGTAACATTCATGGGGATGCGCCTGATCACTTGATACTTTACACAAGTGTAAATTAGCAACAGGATTCTGTCTACCATAATGTAATGAAGTTTTGTAGTGTAACTGTGATGTGTGGTATAACACAACTCCTGCGGAAGGGTAAATATAACTTTTAAATGAATCTTTGTAGTTCAATGAATGTTTCTGGCTTCCCTACAGTATATAATACAGAAGGAATATCACATCTGTCAAGTGCTGTCTAATCCTCAGTCCTTTGATACTCAGTTCCTCTGTGAGCATAGGCAGCACAAACTGCCAGCATTGGAGTGGGCATTTCTGTCGCCTTTGGGGGAGCACCTGCCTCTCAAGTCTTTACATTCTTGACTGTTTAAAGCAATAATATTTTGCAGTGGTTGCTGCTAATGGGAGCACACAGCATCTCAAGTGCATTATGCATGTATTGCATTCTTAAAGCCCTTTGACCTAGCTGAGCCATTGTATTGCTCTATAAGCTCTGGCAGTCTGTGGGTTATAGGATAAAAGCTCTAGAAAACCATCTAAAAATCTTAGTACAGATGCCCATTGATATTAGGGAGCAAGGTAAAAGAATCCGAAGAGCAAGAATTTATGTTCCCTCTGACTTTAAGGCTTACATAGATACATAGCTCACTTGTCAAGTCGGGTTACTTAAGGTCAGGTAGAAGTCTGGTATGTCATTTGGTGCATTCACACGGCATACACATCTCAAGCGGCCCTACTTGGCCCACCTCTCTAAAGAAAAGAAAAGAATTCTTGCCCCATCCTGCTTCTGAGAGGAAGCTTTCAATTGTTTTTATTGTTTTTCCTCTAAAAAGTACAGCACATCATTACTGCCCTAATGGACTTTAAAAGAAATGAAAAGGCTTGCTTGCTCCCTCTGCCTCTCCACAGAGGAAGAGAAGAACGAGGTTTTTAATTCCCCAGTTTCCCAATATCATTAAGTGGCTGTCTGTTTAAGTCACAGGTGATATCGGGAAATTAAAACTATTTGAGAAATTAAAGCAAGGAGCTCTGCTTTGGTTTGATCCCAGTGACAGTGTGCACTGGAAAGGAATCAAAGCAGCACAGTACTTTTTGTTGTTGTTTAGTCATTAAGTTGTGTCCGACTCTACATGACCCCATGGACCAGAGCACGTCAGGCCCTCCTGTCTTCCACTGCCTCCTGGGGTTTGGTCAAATTCATGTTGGTACCTTCGGTGACACTGTCCATCCATCTCGTCCTCTGTCGTCCCCTTTTCCTCTTGCCTTCCCAGCTTTCCCCCTTTCCCAACATCAGGGTCTTTTCCAGGGAGTCTTCTCTTCTCATGAGCTGGCCAAAGTATTAGAGCCTCAGCTTCAGGATCTGTCCTTCCAGTGAGCACTCAGGGTTGATTTCCTTCAAAATGGATCGGTTTGTTCTCCTTGCAGTCCAGGGGACTCTCAAGAGCCTCCTCCAGCACCACAATTCAAAAGCATCAATTCTTCTGCGGTAAGCCTTTTTTATGGCCCAGCTCTCACTTCCATACATCACTACAGGGAAAACCATCGCTTTGACTATGCAGGCCTTTGTTGGCAAGGTGATGTCTCTGCTTTTTAAGATGCTGTCGAGGTTTTTCATCGCTTTCCTCCCAAGAAGCAGGCGTCTTTTAATTTCGGGGCTGCTGTCTCCATCTGCAGTGATCATGGAGCCCAAGAAAGTAAACTCTGTCACTGCCTCCATATCTTCCCCTTCTATTTGCCAGCAGGTGATGGGACCAGAGCAATCCTATGTGCACCTTAAAAAGAGTAGCCCTGATAGGGATCCAGAACAGCATAGATAGGAACACCAGTCTGGCCCTACAGTGGACCAAACAGTGGTACAAATGCCCATGTAGTCACTCCCTTAATCACCTGGCCTGAAATCTTTCTTTTTTCCCCCCCTATCAACTGAAAATGATCCCTGTTACATTAATTCTATTGAAATTAAATTTCTTAATTGTTTCTTTGACAGACAAATATCTCTAATCCTTTATTTTGTTATTATTCCTCTTATATAACTCTTTGATTCGCTTGGTCATGGCCACCTTAGTGAAACAACAAAATATCTGAACATATTTATTTTTCTCCTGATATTTGTTCTGTAGCTCCTTCTGCTCTTTGGCTGCAACTTACACCATGGCACTCCATGATACGTGCAGTATTCCTTGCTTTCAGCATTTATATATAATTCAATTTATATACAATTTGTATAATTCACATTATATAAAATTCACATTCTATATAATGTGAATATAAAACCTAAACTGGACAAAATACGCTTTTGAATTGCTCTTCTGCTTTTTATTCCCAGATCTTGGAAAGCTGCTTTTAAAGTTGCTACAGTTATAGTTAAAAGAGAGAAGAAATAGTTGGTACTTTCCCTACTGTTATTAAAGTATTTTTTTAATTCCCATTTCTCAAAAGCAAGAAAATTAGTTGTTTTTAGTTACAGTAAATTAAATAGTTTAATTTTTATCAAAAAATGCTTCAAGCCACTAGTCAGTGGTACGAAACATATCAAAGCAGTCTGAGGCAATCTTAAAAATACACACGGAGAAAGAATAGAATACACCAAATATGATCAATTTATATTTAACTTAAAATGGCATAATAGTACATCTAGAACTGATTCCCATCTTCCCCCAAAATCTTCCATAACAGTATATACGTGTGTGTGTGTGTTCCAAAAATTTGAAAAAGCTGTTCAAGGCAGTTCACAATAATGCTGTACTGTGGTCCTTGCAATAAAAGTGTGAAGGAAATCAAAATTATTACCACCATCTCAGTATTGACAATAGAGAGCTGCAGCTAGGAAAACTGGGTTGCCGTCAAGTCACCTCGTGAGTACATGTCCGGAGGCAAGACTTGAACCCAGAACTACTGGGTACACTGACCACATCCTTAACCACTACGCCATACCACTTCTATATTGTTTCAGCTGTTCACTGGCATTCATGCATAGAATCAGCCTAGCTACAGACACTCTGCTGTGGGTAGTATTTCTTTCAAACATATCTTTCTACAGCGTTAACTTTCTCTGGTTTGGAGCACACACGGGTCTGCCTTATTCCAGGCTCTGAGATGAAATTATTTGCCTAACAGTACAATTTTGGACCCCTTTGGTCTGGGCAATGTTTTCTCCTACAATCTGTCATCTTAAATGTGTAAAATGGCAGGTTTATGGGTGGAATGACAATAAAAATACGTTCAGTTTAATAGAGCTATTCACCAGCTTTATATTGTTCCTTTGGTATTAGGGGTCAGAGTTTTTGCACGTATGCAGAGTAGTGGGGGGGAGAGAGAGAGAAAGCAATTTTGTGCTGCAGCATAATTTGTGAGTTTGAAAAACTCAGAGATGATGCATAAAGCCCAGACTCCCTGCCCTTCCTTCCCATTGGCTCACCTGTCGAGGGATACAGTCGTGAGGGTGAAGCTGCTTGCATACATAGTCAAGTAGATGAAGAAGTGCACTGCTTTGCACAGGAGGGGCCCAAAAATCCAGTCGTCCAAGGTGTAGATGGTAGCCTGGAAGGGCACGCAGAAGACGATAAAGCACAGGTCAGCCACGCCCAGATTGAGAATGAAGAGGTTGGTGGTATTGTTGACTTGCCCATTCCTAAGCAGTACCGCCAGTACCAGAGAGTTGCCCACAGTGCCAACCAGGAAAATCAAAGCGTATGCCAGCGGGATGATGATGGACACCAGTTGCCAACTGTTGCTTTCGCTGCTCCCCGAGGAGTTTAGCTGGGGCAACAATCTGTTCATCTTGGATGCAAGGGACATGCTCTGACTGAGGAAGAGATGATGCAGAAAGTTCGTTCTCAGTCCTGATTAGTTTGCCGAGAGCACACAAATCAATTCCCTCCACAAATCACTTCCAGGATAGAATTTGACTCCTGAGAAGGAGTTTCCTTCATCGTGGATCTTTTGCAGGGCACTTCCCTTTCTGTTCGTAGTCCTTCAAGCCAGCATAGTTTCCATTCACAGACACTGGATTGTTGTCTGTCATCCAGTTACAAAGGTGCTCTTAAAGCTCCAAGTTTCTTGTCTTGTTCCACCAAAGAGATCCGTACTCTGACAGAAAACACTGGCAGTCACTCTTGCAGGTGCACGGAACAACTAAACTTCTCACTAGTTGCGCCTCCTGGTGCTGAGCCCATAATGTTCAGTGAGCTCTGAATCCTAGTTCATGGCATTCGTGGGGAACAACTAATATATTCGAAGCCTTCCTCTGGTTTCCAGGGAGACACAGAGCCCAAATAAAAGCCATGGTGTCTATGGAAACACAGTCCCCTCCCCATATATACACAACTCTCTCTCACACACTGACCACTTTGCCTCTATGATTTAGTGAAAATGGAACGGGTGCTTTAACAATTTTTCAGATAATAGTTTGCTATCCTTCACTCCTAACTTCACATAGCAGTGAAATTGTGTCAGTATCCTGCCCTCATTTGGTGGGTTGCAGAAAGCAAAGGGTACTGGACAAAGTACTGGATACTTCCAAGAGACTGCATAAACTGTTGGGATGGTGCACAATTTTAATAGATATTATATGGAGCAGCTAAAATATTTTGCCCATTATGCTACTCTGGTGATTCCCATAAAGCAGTGGTTCCCAACTTTGGCTAACCCATGTATTTTGCTGTTTAATCGTTAACTCGTGTCTGACTCTTCGTGACCCCATGGAGCACAGCACGCTAGGCCCTCCTGTCTTCCACCGCCTCCCAGAGTTTGGTCAAATTAATGTTGGTACCTTCGGTGACACTGTCCATCCATCTCGTCCTCCGTCGTCCCCTTCTCCTCTTGCCTTCACACGTTCCCAACATCAGGGTCTTTTCCAGGGAGTCTTCTCTTCTCATGAGATGGCCAAAGTATTGGAGCCTC